CCAAAAAAACGAGTAGTATACAATAAAAAAAATAATAAAAAAACCCCAAATTCTTTAGATTTTTTTTTTGAAATTTCTTCATCATTGTTGTCTCCAACATATAGTTGTCTTTTGAAAAATTTGTTAATAACAACTTACAATCAAAATATAGCAACTATAAACTTGATTTCAAGTTTCAACAACATATAGCAACCTACAATCAAATTATCAAAATATATCAACTATAAACTTGATTTCAAGTTTCAACAACAAATAACAATCTACAATCAAATTATCAAAATATATCAGCTATAAACTTGATTTCAAGTTTCAACAATAAATAGCAATCTACAACCAAATTATCAAAATATATCAACTATAAAGTTGATTTCAAGTTTCAAATAATCATTAATTATTAACCCTAGAAACCTAATCTAACAATCCTAATTGGTAATTTCTAAATTTTCAACACAATGCCAAAAAATTGAATTTCAATTAACTAAACAATAATCATTAATTTTTGTACTTACTTGCTTAATTCATTGTCCACTTTGATCAATAATCACCCAACATCGGAGAAGTTTCGTCAAAAACATCAACCGTCGGAGGCTAATCGCCAACAAAAAGAAGGAAAGCAACATTGCAACGTAAGTGAGTCGCAGGAGGGGGGAGTTCGAGTCAGGAAAAGTCTATCGAGTGTTGGTTGGATTTCTAAATTTGTGATTTCCAATTTTTCATTGGTATTTGGTTAAATTTTGTATTTCATTGAAATAATTTGGTGTTGGACAATTGGCCAATTGAGCTTAACAAGTTTGTACTACTTGGTAATTGAATTTACCATTTAAAAATAACCTAATTTTTTCAAGGTAGCCCAATTTTTTTTTTTTGGGTATCACCGCAACATAAACTAAATTTTCCAATAAAATTTATACTACTGAAATTTTTTGAGAGGCATCCCATGCTACCCCAAGCTCCAAGATAGATCCGTCTATATGAATGCCTCCGATAATTATGGAACCACACCGTATAGCCTTAGTGGCCGGCTGAGGCGACAAAATTAGGATTTAGGGGGCTTAGAAGCCTTGGTCGATGGAAAATAAGGGATGAACAACAAGCAAGGCCAGCCCGTGGGCCTGGGCAAGCTGGGCGACCGTCCCGGGCCCCTAAATACCAAAGGGCCCCCATTTTGCATTTGCTATATTGAGTTAGCCCATTATTTTTAGCCTAGTCCACTAGTTAGGCCAAATTATAATATATGAGACGAACCGAAAAGCGGGAGCAAGATGTCGAGCATGCGTTCACAAATCCCTTTTTCCAAGGCTATCAACGATTTCTATGGAGACTCCAAATGCACCGCTTCCACTTCTCCAGACTCCACACAACGGTTACTTCTATTCTTTTGATTCTTTTTTTTTTTCTTTTCTGATTTCTAAATCTCATTATCCCACAATTTCTTCCATCCCTTATTAATCTCTAATCGATTTTCCCTTGAGAGTTGAGAGTGCATCAAGCGATTCTTCATTCTTATTTTTGAAATTAATAGAGCAGGAGATGAGATTCTTAAATTTATTCTGAATCTGTGACTAATTGCTGAATCAGAAATAGCCTTAGTTAGTTCTAATTTCTGAAATACCCCTATGTTTTTTTTTTTTTTTTTTTGTTTATTTATGAAGGATTGAATCATTCCCAAGTTTGAGACTCAAACAATTTAAAGACTCAAATCATGAATTGATTTCTGAATCTATGTAAGTTTAATCTAATTCAAATTTCGATTTTTTTTTTTACAATTGAATAAAATTATACACATTTTGATCTTAGACTTTTAAATTCGATTTTTTTTAATCTGATGCAAATATTGATTCTTGTTCTTACAGTGTCTCATTCTAAATTCCAGATATTTGTTGTATTTTTGATTTCTGTTGCATTTCACTTTCTTACAGCAGACTATAAAATTAAGAAGTTTGAATAGTTTTGCCACATTACGAATTAAGAAAGATTTGCTAGATGATATTGAATTTACTAGAATAATCGATAACTTTGCATCTAAAAAATTGGTAAATGTAATTTTTTAGTTTTTCTTTGTTATGTTTATGTATTAGGAAGGTTCATAATGTTTCTTTGTTGTTTTATATTTAATAGTTGTTAAGCTTTTGGTGGCTTTTGATCCGTTTTTGGGAAGCTTTTTTTATTTTTATAGCTGGGGAATCCCCACCCTACAATTGCATTATTTTCTTTAGTTAATAAAAGTATTCAGAGATGTCATGAAGGGCCCCATTTTGTATTTTGTCTCGGGCCTCAAATTGTCTTGGACCGACCCTAACAACAAGAGTGAGATGCATGATTTGCACACTTTCTAGGGTAATGGTTTGTAGGCTAATATTGCTGCCACCCGTATTGATGTCGCCCGAATTATAAATTCTCCTTATTTGATAAATATTTTTGTAACATTTTTGTCAAAAACTCCCATCAATATATTGGGACCACCAATTATCGACTTCTAGGGTTAATCCAAATCCCTTTGAGAAACACAAAACAACTAAGGCCATCTACAATGGTCATTTAATGGAGAGTTTAATGGGAAAAGAAAGCTTATGTGGCAGTTGAATGGATATACAAAACATTGTGGAGTGGGTTGATTGAATGAGGGGTTTAATCCCCATTCAACGGTGGTATGGCTTTTCTTATCTTTTTTTTTTCTCAATTTATTATATAAACTTATTATTTTTTTTTCTCATTTTATTGTAAAAACTTTTTTTTTTGTTTTTCTTTCTCAATAGAAAGTAATATTTAATATTTTTTGGCAATAAACAATATATATATATATATATATATATATATATATATATATATATATATATATATATATATACTTTATTTTATTTTATATTCAATAATTTAATTTATTAAGTTACTTCATATTTTTTATTCTAAACAATAAAAAAAATATATAAATCTTAAAAACATTTTAAAAAGATAACATCTTATTTATTATAATACAACATAGTGATATCACATATTAATAAAACGTTCCCAAATATGCTCCATTAAATCATGTCGAACAGCATGATGTACGGCATTATCGCGTAGTTCAGAGTTTCTTTGAATTTGATATTGAACTTCTTCGACAGGTCCTCGATTCACACGTATAGGAGGATCAACATCATCTGACCAATTACTAATTGCATTTCCTTCATTTTCTACGATCATATTATGTAATATAATGCATGTATACATTATATCCTTTATGTTTTTAAGTTGCCACGATCTTGCTGGACCTCGTACAATTGCCCAACGAGATTGAAGAACACCAAATGCTCTCTCCACATCCTTTCTTGCAGCCTCTTGAATTTCTTTAAAATTGATCCTTTTTGGGTTGGCCGGATGTGGAAAACTTTTAACCATTGTATCCTATTCAGGATATATACCATCTGCAAGATAATATCCTTTTGTGTATGTTCTTCCATTAACAGTAAAATTGCATTCAGGAGCATAACCTTGTAATACATCATTGAATAACGGTGACTGGTTAAGTACATTAATGTCATTGTTTGACCTAACAACCCCGAAATATGCATGTCACATCCAAAGGTCTTGTGATGCAACTGCTTCCAACATAATTGTTGGACAACCTTGATCACCTCGAGTATATTGACCTTGCCATGCAACCGAACAATTTTTCCAAGGCCAATGCATGCAATCAATACTTCCAAGCATACCAGGAAACCCGTGCTTTTCTGAATGTTTTTGTAGTAAATTTTGGATGTCATTAGCATTTGGTTTTCTCAAATAATGGCGTGAATAAACCTCAATCACGCATAGACAAAAGTTTTGTAGACATTCGATTGAAGTTGATTCACCAATGCGTATGTATTCATCAAAGAGGTCACCAATTGTGCCATATGCCAACTGGCGTATGGCAGCAATGCATTTTTTTAAAGGGGAAAGACCATTGTTTCCTAAAGCATCTTTTCTTTGTTGAAAATAAATAGAATGGTTAGATATACCGTTAACTATTTGAACAAATAGTTCTCGCCTCATTCGAAATCTTCGTCTAAACGTTTGAGGTGGGAAAACAGGATGCTCATCGAAATAGTCTTTCCAAAGACATTTATGCCCTTCTTCACGATTTCTATCTATATATCTTCGACTTTGCCCAGGACGTCGTGAACTTTCAGCATCTGATTGTTCTGCTTCCAAGCATTTCAGCTCCTTATATAGTTGAAATGTAGAATTACTTGTGAGATGGTTGATTATGAATTCAGAAGCAAAATCGTCTGAGGATGATGATGACATCGTATAAGAAAGATATAAGAAATAGTTTGAATTGGTAGGTATGAAATAATAAAAACGTTGTATTCTTTTATAGCAAAAATATAGAGTCAAATGAAATTCAAATTAAAGTAAAATGAAATCCAAATTATATTCGAATGAAATTGAAATTAAAATAAAATGAAATTGAAATTAAAGTGAAATGAAATCCAAATTAAAGTTAAATGAAATTGAAATTGGAGTCAAATGAAATTAAAATTAAAGTGGAATGAAATCCAAATTAAAGTTAAATAAAATTGAAATTGGAGTCAAATGAAATTGAAATTAAAGTGGAATGAAATCCAAATTAAAGGCAAATGCATACAAGATGTTCAACTCCATAAATAAAGACGAACATATTATATTCTCATTCACACCTACCAACCATCTGATACACCAATCATGAATCCGAATTAATATACACACTTGTTATCTTCTTATGATCCCGAAAATCCAAACAATCATCCACAACATCCATACCCAAATCCAAACAGTCATCTACAATATCCATATCCAATTCCAAACAATTATCCACAATATCCATACCCAAATCCAAATAATCATTCACAACATGCATACCAAAATGCATACCCAGATTCTACCAGCCCGGATCCTCCCCATATTCCAGAAAATGAGCTAACACCAACAGAAACTCCTACCAACAAACGACAAAAAAATAAAAAATAAAAACCTATTGGAGCAAAGAAGAAGAAATGTTGTTGGCAAAAGGTTGGCTACAAATTTCAGAAGATAGCATTACTGGAAGTCAACAACGTGATAAAGAGTTATGGAGACGAATTACTGCATACTATGAAAAAAGCAACACGTCGAACATTGCAAGAACTCAAGCCAACCTCAAAACGCATTGGCATTACATGAACCCATTTGCAGTTGCATTTAATCAAATGTATATAGTGTTGAAAAGTCAACACCTCAGTGGATGGTCTGAGGATGATCTCAAACGTGCAACTTTTGAGCATTATCATGCTAGATATGGTGCCGATTTTAGGCACGAACATATTTGGAATATCGTTAAAAATGAACAGAAATGGAAAGGTTCAAGCACTGCATTTGGGGAATCTATGTCTTCATCAAATACATAATCTTTCATTAACCTGGATAATGATGAAGTTAGAACTCGTCCAATTGGTAGGAATGCAGCAAAAAAAGCAGCAAAAGGGAAAGCTACCAATTCCACTTCGTCATCTGATAATAAGCTTGATGAAATACTTGAAAAACATATAGAAGAAAATAAAAAGACTTTTGAACGCTATCAAAACTCTTTGGATATGAAGAATGCATTGAAAGAAAGAAAGATGAAGATTAAAGAAGAAAATGTAAAGAATGATGAAATTTCAATCATTTTCATGGATCCCAGTATCATGTCGGAAGATGGACGTGAAATTTGGAGAAATTGTTGTGACGAGATTAAGATAAAATACAATATGAAGTAAAATTTGTATTTTATATATTGTACTTTTTATTTAGTATATTATTTGTAACTTTTAATTTCTAAATTGTAATCTTTAATTAATATTTAGTAATTGTAACTTTGAATTTCTAATTAATGTAATATTCTAGTTTTATTTATTAATATTATTTATAAAAAAATAAAATGATGATGTGGAAATCTATTGAACTTTTAAGAGTTTAATGGAGTGTAGAGTTTAATAGGTTAAACAGTATAGTTAGTGGAATGCTATCTCACAATCCATTGAACAATGCATTCGCCTAATTAACGTAACTATTTACATATGGCTTTGAAGTGTAGCCACCAAACGACGACGTGCTAACATTTCTCCTCCATCACTCGACAAATGCGTCAAAGCAATTCAACACGTAGTTTCCATGCAGGCGCTCAAACAATCCTATAAAATCCAGAAACTTTTACACCCTATTACGCATCAAATACATATCCATCCATCATACAATGGCAAGGTTCTCGCTCGTATTTGCAGCAGCAGGATTCCTCCTCCTAGTAGCCATGGCGGAGGCCACCACCAAAACCATCTTCACCACCACCACCTTTGAGGAAAACCCCACCGACAGAACTGATATGTCATGCAGTCAGCAGCTGGTTGAGCAGGCGATGCTTAACCACTGTGTGAAGTACCTTGAAACTGGCTCAGGAATGAGCATGGACCTAGAAAGGTCGTCGGAGCCAACCCCTGCAGAGAAGCACCTGATGCTGTGCTGCATGCAGGTAAGGAACATCGATGAGATGTGCAGGTGTGACGTCATCAAGATGATGATGAACCAACAAAGGTGGACGCAACAACAGATGGGTAAGATGATGGGCATGGCGGAGAACCTTCCCAACAAATGCAAAGTCGAACCAGAAATGTGCAAAATGAGAGCTGTCTGGTTCTAAATTAAAATGCATCGCCATTTAAATGGTCCGTAGTTAATAAAACGAGACTCGCTATCACACCATCGTGTGTATATATGGATGTTATATATTCCATTGTGTGTCGCAAAATTTAATAAATTTTGAACTTATTCCTTTTGTATCTCTTGTCACGTGCTTATTAATTTGTTTTGTTTATTCTCTTGTATTCAGTGGAATGGCTTATTCACCATAAACAAAAATAAGCTATTGAAGCGATACATTTTTGCGAAATGTAGGGATGAAATTCACCATATTCCTGGAGAGATATTGACATTCCAAAAAATATTATATCCTGCAGAAAGAAGTCCTTAAAGGGAGTTTTTTTTTTTATTAATAATGTTGTTTTCAAAAGTGTTTGTAAATATTTTACAAAATCAATTATCTTTAATTTTTGTTCCGGTGTTATATTTATATCCCATTAATTTTAATTTTTTTAATTATTATTTTTTATATATAAGTTATTTATTTGGGAATATTTAAATAAAATATAAACACAAATTTTTTCTTGAAAACTATAATCTATAATAAATAAATAAAAACTTTTAGAAAAAAAAACAAACACAACAATCACTAAAATTATCATATAAAAATCTTCATTAAAGTTTCATTATTTTATCATAATTTACGAATAAATATCAAATTAAAGTTTGTTTACGAGAAAACATGAATTACTGGTAAAATGTCGATTTTGCTATTTTTTCACGGTTTACCGGTTTCTTTGTTGATCTTGATATATTAAAGTTTCATTATTGTACTTAATTTACAAGTAAGTCTCAAACTAGCAACAGTTTTATTATTTCTGTAGTTTATAAGAAATTTCAAATTGTCTATGCAACCCAATATATTCATCATCATCATCACATTTTTCATATTTTTTCCCAGTAATTCATGTTTATTGGTAAACAAATTAATTATTTTGGGACTTATTCATTAATTAGGGTAAAATAATATGATTTTAATACGTAAAGCTTAACAATGAAACGAGTAAAATGGAGAAAAATAATCAAATTGTTATTTTTATCGGTAATTCATGTTTTTTCGTAAACAAATTTTAGTTTGAGAATTATTTGTAAATTAGGATAAAATAATGAGACTTTAATATGTATATTTCCCTATAAATAATTTACAAGAATAAATAAACATAAAATTACAAGATTAACTAAACTTGAAATTACAAGATTAATAAAAAATACATTGTCTACATGGCATTAAACTTAGGTTATTCAAACATTTTTTCAATTATGATTAGATTTTTGATTAGTCCATATCTATCAGTATAAAAATTTATATATAAAAAATTATGACCAGTTAGTGACAAGTTTTTTGATTATGGCACATTTTGTCTATTCTAAATAAAAAAAAATATGAATAAAAAAAATAGTGGTATAAAATATAAATTGATTATGAAAATGATAAGAAAATATACTACTTAAATTAAAGGGCTATATTATGAAGTTGATTTCGTAAATAGTTTGGCCGAATATTTACATAGCATATAAATGAAATTTGCATGTTATTTAATGATTCCTAAATAAATAGCTTATATATTATAGATAATAACAATTTAAAAAATAAATATAATATAAATATGGGAAATCTCCAGAAAAGTCCCAAAATTTTAGTCCAATTTATGAAAAAATCCCAAAATAAATTTTATTTACAGAAAAGCACAAAATACCGGTTAAAACTTCGAAAAAACCCTTTTCGGCCGGTTTCGCAGATTTTGCCGGTATTTTGTCCTTTTTCGTTAGTTTGCTCAAAATTTTGGGACTTTTCCAAAAATTACATAATAACCAAAATATTGGGACTTTTTTGAAAATTACCATGAAATTAATGGATATTATTATTAACAAATCTTTTATAAATTACATAATAACTAAAATATTGGTGGCCTAAGTACTCCTCTATTGTTTCCTGACCACTCAAACTCTCTATGTTCTTCCTATGCATTGTTGTGCGTATGATGGTGAGATGAAGTTAGTTAGCATTCCTCTAATGTTGGTGTTCTTCTTATGTTGTTTAACCTAACTACCAACCAACATTCATACCTTACATGTTAACAATCATCGGCTAACACACATCTATAAAATGTGAAAAGTGAACCCTGAATGATAATTTATATGGAAACAAGTGAATGGTGATTATCTATTTAAATTGTCATTCAAAGTTTACTTTTCACTCTCAATAGATATGTGTAATTTTATGGTTGTTACCGGGTAATGTTTGGAGGTTAGGTGGTAGTTAGGTTAAAGAACATAATGAAAGATCTATATGTTCGTGTAATGATATCTTCTAATAACACATGATCATATAGCATCATGCTTAATAGCAAGTAGAAACTTATTGATTGTGTATTAATAAATATTATCAACTCTTGTATTGGTCACGCCTAATAGATTACTTCTCACTATGACACCCACAACGATATATATGAAGAACATAAAGACTTTAAAGTGGTCAACAAACAATTGAGAAGTACATAGTCGACCATTCTATTTCTAGAAATTAACAACAAATGTATTTCCTTTGTTTATAATAAAAAAAATATTTTTTATGTTTATAAATGATTTGTTAATAATAATATCCATTAATTCCATAGTAATTTTCAAAAAAGTCCCAATATTTTAGTTATCGGGTAATTTTCAGAAAAGTCCTAATATTTTGAGCAAACTAACGAAAAAGAACAGAATACCGGCTAAATCTACGAAACCAGCCAAAAAGGGTTTTTTCGAAGTTTTAGCCGGTATTCTGTGCTTTTCTGTAAACAAAAATTAGTTTGGGACTTTTTCATAAATTGGACTAAAATTTTAGGACTTTTCTGGAGATTTCCCTATAAATATTACTACATCTTATAAAACTTAAAGGATATTAGAGGTTGATTTGTAATTGTAAGACTTAAAAGGATAAAAAATGAAATATTAGAGGTTTGATTTGTAAATTGCTATGAACGGAAAGTGGAATGGTGGACACAACCCTATTTTTACAATACATTTTGAAAGAGTATACTTTTACAAGTACTTTTGAAAAATAAATCTATTTATACAAAAAGGAAAAAAAAAAAAAAAAAAAAAAAAAAAAAAATCTCCTTAAAGGACGTCAACATTTGGCTTAGGTTACATTATAAAAAGGAGTTAAAACCTTTGAAAAGTGAATACTAGGTTGTTTATATGAAGGACTTGAAAAGTGAGTAATATATTATTGGGACTGATATTTGTTCACCTGGAGAAAAAAGTCAATGAAATTTGGTGGTGAAAATGTTTATTCGATCATACCATGCATATCGATGATCTAAAATGAGCATGTATGTAGAAAAAGCACGACAAAAAAACTTACTTTTACCGACGACAAAAAGCATCGCAATTGATACTAGAAAACGTCGCTTATACCATTAGAGTCTACATACATTTTGTTGCATGGATCGTCGCTTACTTCCCGGCTAATAGTCAAAAATCGTCGCAATGTGCCCCCGCTAATATATGTCACCGCTAAAAGGTAAATCGCAAAAACGTGTGTCTTATTACCTTTCTGGTACACCGGTCGGAGTTTTTCTAACCAAGTTGTCGTAGTCACGAGGCCCACAAATGTAGGTTGTCATCGCAAATGATGTTGCCGCTATTTATTTTTTTTAATATAAAATTTATATCTTATATAATTTAGATTATAAAAATGCATAAATTATAATCTAAAAATCAGTATTACATAACTGTCAAATAATATAAAACAAAATATACTAAATTACATAAGCGATCTAATCCACACATGTACGGTTTTAACGTTTAATCCACAAATGATTTAATAAATTCATAATAACATCATCCATAACATCCAACAAAACATATTACTCGTCTTCCCCATCGTTGTCTTCCGAGTCGTGGTTGCTTGCATTGCTTTTGTTGATGTTGACTTAGTTATTTCTAGACTCTTGATAATTTAAAAGGAGAAAACTTAAATTAATTTTTTTTTATTATTATAGCATTGTATTTTAAATAATTAAACTACTAAATTATAACTTAGTACATTTAACATCTTATTGTTTTTATTTTTTTTCCTATTATATTATAACATTTTACATTAAAAAACTTCTTAGAATTTTAGTATATTTTTGTTATTTATAGCATTTTGTTTCACAATTTTATTGTTTATAGCATTTTTTTTTCTTCATAATTTTATTGTTTATAGCATCTTTTAATTTTGTTTTTATTTTTCTATTATGACACTGTACTTTTTCATATTTTTTATTTGTAACATCTTTCTTATGTTGTTTTTCTATTATAATTTTATATTTTAAATAACATTGTGAGTTATAGCAAGATAAACTTGGTGTCAAATCACGTATTGTATCTCTATCAATAATAGAGTACATAAGAAATATATATAGATTACATAATTACACTTTGCATCCCTATAATAATAAAGTATATTAATTGTCTAATATTCCCCCGCAAGCTAAGGTCGGGGAACGACATGTAGCTTGGATCTTATCTCAGCAAACCGTTAGGATGACAATGGCTTTGTAAATATATCTGCAATCTGATCATGTGTGGAAATGAATTGTACCGAGAGTTTCCGCGCAGCTACCTTTTCTCTAACAAAATGGAAATCAACCTCAACATGTTTCGTGCGAGCATGGAAGATCGGATTTGCCGATAAGTATGTAGCACCCAAGTTATCACACCACAATACCGGGACAGATTTCATAGAAACTCTGAGTTCTCGAAGGAGTGCTTCAAGCCAAGTGAGTTCGGCTACAGTATCAGCTAAGGCTTTGTACTCCGATTCCGTTGATGACCGAGAGATAGTTCGTTGTTTTCTGGCCGACCAAGATATGAGATTGTTGCCAAGATAAATGGCATATCCCCCCGGTGGATCGACGGTCATCTAGGCTACCAGCCCAGTCAGCATCCGAAAAAGCATTCAAGGAAGGAGCATGAGAATCAGTGTAAGCATGAAGAACAGACCCTGAGTTTTGTTTTATAAGAAGA